AGTACGAGTGAAACGGAAGCTGTGTTAACATTCTCCTCTCTATTCTAATGTATGAGTGGCACAAGTGGCATATCAACCAGTCTATATGGCTGCTGTTTTTTTTGTTGAGAACTCCCATTAAGTGATGATGCTACAGGCTGCAACTCACAGCAGACAGCTTTGCCTATTTTAGTTAGTGTTTAGTTGATGCTATAGCAAATGGCCAAAAATGACCTATATACTTTGTACTACATTCTCTCATTCACATGCTGATGAGCATTGTAGCTGCCTGCCCATAGCGGTGCACCATCATGAGTCACCTGTCCAACCAAGAACTGCTCAGAGGGACACAATCTGGTGCTTTTATAATAAGATAAAATGTTCTGCTGATTAGAAATGAAAGGAAAGACACACTTACACTTCAACAGTCCAGGCTTCATCCGTTCCTCTCCTCCATGTTCCATGCTGAGCAAGAAATAAGGACAGAGTGTAGTTTAGATGCTTGTATCAAAATGTATGAAAAACCAAGACAAATGAAAGATCCAGAAAGCTCTCTGTTAAAATGCTTTCAATACTTCTGCCTGATATGTCTCACTTTGTTCAACAAAAATCTGATTATGTGTCTCACTTAAAAACATATTTTGGAATTGCCCCCTAAGATTTAACCGTATGGATGAGATAAAGATTGTTCTTTGCATGGTTCAGACACTAGCTCTTTGTTATTTGTTGGCACTGGTCTCATAAGGTGATTCTACCTACAAATTTGCTTTTATAAAATGAAGCTATCATGTCTGTTTTACCTAAGGGTATCCAGCCTCCAGGATGGGTTATTCAGTCCAGCTACCAGCAGTTTGATTCCTTCCTCTCCTGGGTGATTGTAGTTCAGCTCCAGCTCTCTTACATGGTTTGGGTTGGAGGTCAAAGCAGAGGCCAGAGAAGAACAGCCTACATCCGTTATCATACAGCCTGAAAGTCTAGATTTACACAAAACATAAATATTGACATATTATATTAATACTTAGAACATGTTAGTTTAAACCTAAGCCTAATTAAACTTAAATTAATTATATTCCTGTTCAAATTTACCGTTAAAACTGGACTTCATAATATTTGAGAGGACCATATTTATACTTCACTTTTTTTACATAATTGTTGATTATTTCAGTAATAGGTAAGTTACTTTGGAAAGTAACTAGTTATAGATACCAGTTACTCTTCCAAAATTTAAAAAAGTTAGCAATTATGAGTTACTAACTTGATTACTGTGCAGTGAAAGTAGCCAAAGTAACTATGCAGTTAGTTTTCATGTTTTAATATCTGGAACTTTAAATACAAATAGAGGATCATTCATGCAAAGGTTTGTATTCATTATTGACTAAAATAATTAAAAGGTCTACAAATTAGAAAAGATTTAAAAATAATCTGCATTGATTTGATGTGTGATGTTTGACAA